GGATCATTTGTGTGATTGTTACACAAGTAAACCAAAACAGAAGATTACAGAGTTATAGCATCGATCAGGAATTCAGGATACTTAATTACGGACTAAACATAAGATTGTGGGAAATGAATAATCAGAATAAACATAAGATTATACGGCAACAACACTATATGTATTATTGGCACTTTGCTCGCTTAAATCAATTTGTTATAAAATTCTAGCTTTTATATTTTTGTTTTGTTTTGTGTGATAGTGTTTAAGTACTGGAGTCTGGAAATGTTTGCCAATATATAACACCATAAATTCTATATTTCTTATAAGATACCTCTTTTGGACTGGATATATATACTCATATGGGCAAGTTTATAGCTTGAGGGAACGAAGAAGTTTCATTATTTTGAAGGTCGATGTGCATTGTAATATTATGCATTTAACAGTGCGTTTGATACGAAGGATTTAGAGGAGAGGGGGAAAGATTTTAATCATTTTCCCTTATTTGGCAAGATAAAAATTTTAGGAGGGGAGGGAAATTTTTTTTACATTTTCCCTCCCCTCCCCTCATAAGCCTTCCCTCCAAACTTGGGGGAATTTGGGAAAAAAGGGTAATATTTTGCTTTATATTGACTAATATGCCCATATTATTTTTTAATATTCTCATCTTATCCTTCTACCCTTACCACAAGGAAATCATAAACCCTGTGTTTGTTTTTAGCCGCAGCCTTTATCTCTGTTTTCTGTAACTCAGCTCATCCGGTAGCTTCTTCATCTTTTCTGGGTTCGCTTCTCTTTAGTAATTTCGTTCCCCCAAAACAGAGTGGGACGAGAGATTTTCCATTAATTGTGTCTGTGTCTACTGAAACCATACCATTTCCAATATACACATATTATAAAGTTGGGGACCAAGTTGCTCTAGATTTTGAAGGAACATGGATGCCGCTTTCAAAATAATTTTGGATATAAAAACAATTATAGTTATTCATTATGTATTATGATTTTATTTATTTAATTTTGCTAATTATAAAAAGTTGATCTCATGTATTAAATGTTATTTATAATTATATTTTATTAATTACTCTATAAAGTTTGTAAAAATCAACTTAAATAATATAACGGCAAAGTTATCTATACAAAAATATTTTGCCTCTCCTCCCTTCCTAAACCAAACAAGGTAACATTAAAATTCCTTCCTTCCCCTCCCCTCCCCTTGAATTAATCCAAACTAAGTAATATTCCCTCGCTTTCATCTCCTTTTCCTCTATTAAAATCCCTCCCCTCCCATCCCTTCTATTGAGCCAAACACACCCTAAGGGAAAGTGGAGAGAAACTAAATGTGAGGAGAGAAAAAATAGGATAAGTAAATTATATACAAATTGTCATTATTCATGATGATCTTGTTCCTCGTCTCTTCCCCTTCATCCACCACATGGTCTCCAAATATGGCATATTACTCCCTCTCCCTCTCTCTCTATATTAGAGAAGTACTGCGCCGAAGTTGATTCTGATGAATGGAGAGCAAATTAAGGAGGTGTTGAACAAGTACTATTATTTCACAAAACGTCACTTAAATCCTCTTATGAATCATATAGGCAAGCAAAACTTAACATCCACGGACGCAACATCACTACCCTATCTCTTATCTCAGATAACTTCCCAATCGTCGACATTTTAAAGAGTGGATTTGACCTGGGCATCAAATTTAAAGGCCAATGTTTTAGGCTTTAGCTTAGCTGTTCAATATGCGTCTCCCAAAATCTTATCTCACTTTTCCCCATATCAAAGGGTTTTTCACTAGTGGGTCTAACTTTTCCTTCTCCTATGAAATAATTAAACTTCTTCTCAAAGTATGGATATCGCCTGATTTGGATTGCGTAATAGAACAGAATATGTAAACAAAATAGAACATTGCAGAGTCAGCATGGGTCAGGATTGCAGTTTGGACTAAACATAAAGATAATTGTGGGAAATGTATCAAAATGAACACAAATTAAAATAGAAATATTGGTGACAGCACGTATGTGTGTATATATAGATATATATTGGCATTTTTCTCCTAAAATCGATTGTTCTACATTATAGCTTGTCGGCAATGGAAAAGCTAGCCAATTTTTCAATTAACACACTACAAAAAAATTGACTTTCAGCGGCGACTTTTGTCGCCGCTGAAAGTACAAAAGTCGCCGCCAAAAGTTTTTTGCGGCGACAAGTCGCCGCTGAAAAGTCGTTGCCGTAGCAGCTGTGGCTGAAAACTTTCAGTGGCGACTAAAAAGGTCGCCGCTAAAAGATACTTTCAGCGGCGACTTTTAGAAGTTTCGGCCGCGACTAATGTCGCCGCCGAAAACACTTTCAGCGGCGACATTTGTCGCCGCCAAAAAGTCTTTCAGCGGCGACAAAAAAGTCGCCGCAGAAAACACTTTCGGCGGCGACACTCTTGTCGCCGCTGAAAGACTTTTTGGCGGCGACAAATGTCGCCGCCGAAAGTGTTTTCTGCGGCGACTTTTTTGTCGCCGCTGAAAGTAATGTCTAAAAAGAATTAGCTTTACCAATGCCACGTCATCGCCGTCGGTGCCACGTCATCATCTCCGGCCGCCACGTCATCACCGTCGACCTCCACGTCATCGCCATCGGTGGCCACATCATAACCGCCGACCGCCACATCATCACTAGCCACCTCCACGTCATTGCCACATCACTCCTCCTCGCCACGTCATCGTCCAAATATTTTCACCTTAAATGTGTCTTCTTCCAGGTTCGAACTCGTGACCGCCTCCTTTCGTGTCCAACCTTCTTGCCGCTGAGCCAGATTGAATTTGTTTATTAATATTGTAAAATAAAATATATATTATTATATTATACTTTCAGCGGCGACAAAAAAAGTCGCCGCTGAAGGTCCACTTTCAGCGGCGACTAAAAAAGTCGCCGCTGAAAGTCCACTTTCGGCGGCGACAAAAAAAGTCGCCGCTGAAAGTCTTGGTTTCAATGGCGAACTTTCAGCGGCGACCAAAAAAGTTGCCGCTGAAAGTCCACTTTCGGCGACGACAAAAAAAGTCGCCGCTGAAGGTCCCCTTTCGGCGGCGACAAAAAAAGTCGCCGCTGAAAGTCTTGGTTTCAATGGCGAACTTTCGGCGGCGACAAAAAAAGTCGCCGCTGAAGGTCCACTTTCGGCGGCGACAAAAAAAGTCGCCGCTGAAGGTCCACTTTCAGCGGCGACACTTTTGTCGCCGCTGAAAGTCTTGGTTTCAATGGCGAACTTTCAGCGGCAACTAAAAATGTCGCCGCTGAAAATCCACTTTCGGCGGCGACAAAAAAAGTCGCCGCTGAAGGTCCACTTTCAGCGGCGACACTTTTGTCGCCGCTGAAAGTCTTAGTTTCAGCGGCGACTTTTTGGTGTCGCCGCTGAAAGTGGACCTTCAGCGGCGACTTTTTTTGTCGCCGCCGAAAGTCGTCGCCTAAAGTCTGTTTTTTTGTAGTGACAATACCGTAGCCTTTATATTTCTTGGAAGATCCCACTTGTAATACAGTTTACTTATATTGGCAAATCTGTTGCTTCACGGAACCAAAAAGTTCATTCATTTATTTTGAAGGTCGCATAGGCTTCGTAATTAATATGCATTTTAAGAGGAAAATGAAGAAAAAATAAATGAGTAGTATACTTTGAATTTGATTCACATCTTCATCTTTTATATCTTTCTTTTTCATTATGTTTACACATATTGTGCACCATTGCAAAATTTTCTTCTAATTTTACCTCTTAAAAAAATTTCCTACTTTCGTGCGCACTCACATATGATTTGATATATGCTATTTTCCCCCATTGATTTATCCGATGATATTGAGCTAATGTTGTCCCTTTCCTGGCAAGGCTTAGTGCGCCTTGTTGTTGTTTTATATACTACGTATAGTCCTCAATATAAAGCTTAATTAATTAATTTGCAAAGATTAAATAAATTACATAAATCGCTTTGAAGTATTATATTTATTAATTTTTACAAAACTAATTTACCCAACTTATAAATAGATATATAATTTAATGATACATATAAGTATTTTAGAGAGATCATATATAATTAATTAATTTTTTAATTTTTTTAATTTTTCCAAATTAATCAACCGGGATTTATATTAAACACCGAAGGCAGTGCGTAGGAATCAGCTTATAGTGTCTAGCCTGAATTATATGTCCCGTATTACTTCGTTGGTTGCACTTGTTTTACTCTGTGCTTCCTGTACTTATTTTTTATGCTTTGATATATATTTGATCTTTTAAAAAAAAATTTAAGTTTGTTAATTGATTTGAGGTTGCGGTAAACCAGCTAACGTGTATTTTATAGTGTAATATGAATTACTATTTAACTCATTCGTTGTTCTTGAGTTTTTATTTTGTGAAGATTTTGAATAACTAATTAGCACACATAAACTTGTAAAACTTGTAAAAGATCAGCTATGTTGTATTAGAGTGAACCATGAATTAGATAACGTGAATCTAATTAAACTTATACTATTTCAGTCCTTAATGTATGACCTAATTATTAAATTAATTTTGGTCTTAAATATAAAACATATTTCTTATATTTATCAGTTTTTTCTAAATTACTCGTATTGATATTCCTTTAAGCATAATCAAGTAAAAAAAGGAGGGAAGATATTAAAAAGGATGATTATGGTATTTTAAGAAAAACATGTCATATTTCTTATAATTAACTAAATTACCTAACTTACTTAATATAATCAAATTACTCCTCCGATCCTAAATATAAGATCCTTATACTAGTGTGTATAAGGATCAGAAAAGTACTTTCTAGGATAACAATTAATAATTCTTCAATATTATTAATTATATTGACTGTCGTTCTATATTTTGCCAATCTCTTCGCCTTGTATGCAAGCAGAGAACAGACAATAATAGACGCTCATCGTTCTCTCCCCCTCCGTCCTTCTGTGTGTGCGAGACTCCATTAATCAGTCTATATATATGAACCAATCTACATATCAATGTTATACAAACACAAGAAGGAATGGGGACAGAGAGAGTTGTAAGAGAAATGTTGGGAGCAACAACGTTAATAGCGTCAATAACGGCGGCGATAATAATGGTGAGATGGGGATGGAAGATGATGAAGTGGTTGTGGCTGAACCCTAAGAGGCTGGAAAGGGTGCTCATAGAGCAAGGTTTTCAGGCCAACCCTTACAAGTTCTGGGTTGGTGACTTGAAGGAAATAGTGAAGATGCATGAAGAAGCCAAATCCATGCCCATGAAGTCTCTGTCCCATGATCTATCTCCTCGTTTCTTCTCCTTTGTGCTCCACATTCTCCACAAACATGGTGTTTCCTTTTCCTTAATGTCTTCTGGTTTTTGTTCTCTGTGTATAGTTTGGCTACTGTGGTAACAATTAACGTAGTACCTACTTGCAGGTAAAAATTCATTCATGTGGTTTGGACCGACACCGAGCTTGATCTTAACGAGCCCAGAGCAGATAAAGGATGTCTTCAACAAGAATTATGACTACAGAAAAAGTCATTTGAATCCTCTTAGCAAGTATGTAGCCCCTGGTCTCGCAAAACTTGATGGAGACAAGTGGGCCAAACACAGAAAGATCATTAGTCCAGCGTTCAATTTGGATAAACTCAAGGTAATTAACTTCGTATCTACGTACGTTCTTCTAATAATGCTCATGGAACAAGGATAGGATCGTTCTGAACTGGTGAAGAGCAGTTAAAAAACTGCAATACACCTCTCTCGCTCCTTTTGCTTTTTTCTAAATAAGGAAAAAAATTATTGAAGCAATTTTTTAACTACACTTCATCACTTTAGAGAACCCCTTCTGCATGCTAAGAGGCTTGTGTCCATTAGGTTGGAAGCTTTCTCCCTCACCCCTTTATTATTATCAGTTCCTTCTTTGGATGTATGTGATCTTAGGCAACATTTGATGGATTTAGAGTGGTGATCTGCTGTAAGTTAGCTTCCTTTTATGTTATATTATTCAGTTTTTGTAACGTCAAATTTGTTCTTTTATCGATTAAGAAGAAGGACATTCACGTGACTAGCTAATTGTGACTATCTATACATTAGCTTAGTTAACTTAAAAACATAATGTCATGAACACCTAAAATTTGAAATGAAGTTGTTGAAACTCTGACAGCTCAATTATTGAGGAAGAGAATATTGTACTATACATTCTCCTCATTAAAATTTGAAATGTTTATTGAGTCATGTCAAATATAAACGTCAAGAACTTGATTCAGGAAAGACGTACATATATACAAGATTCCTTTTTTTGGTTCTTCTATCAGTATTTGGTTTCTCTAATTAATGTCAGTCCGGCAATTTTGACTTTCATTTTCTTATATTTTAAATTTTCCACAGACTATGACGCAAACCCTTTTCCAATGTTGCAATGACATGATACGAGAATGGGATAAAAAGCTGTCGTCCTCAAATGGAACGTGTGAAGTGGATGTTTGGCCTTCACTTATGAGCATGACACAGGATGTTATTTGTCGAGCAGCATTTCGGAGTAGCTATGAAGAAGGCAAACAAATCTTCCATCTCCTCACAGAGCAATCTGAACTTGTCATGAATCATTTACAAAGATATCACACTCCATTTTGGAGGTAACATTAAGCAAATTAATATGGAGCATTAATATGTATCTGTAAAGATTGACTTATTGAATCTATTTTGCAGCTTTGTACACGGTAAGGACCTTAGGAGGATTAAGGAGATAGATAGAATGGTGGGAGACTTGGTGAAGGGAATCATTAAGAAGAAGGAGAAAGCCCTAAAGGAAGGTGAAGCCATGAAGAATGACGTACTAAGCATACTTTTAGAATCCAATCACAAGGAGATAGAGAAACGAGGGAACAAGAAAAACGTTGGGTTGAGCATGAAAGATATAATCGACGAATGCAAATTTTTCTACTTTGGAGGCCAAGCCACCACTTCATCTTTGCTTGCTTGGGCCATAATGCTGCTGAGTAAGTACACTGATTGGCAAACACGCGCAAGGGAAGAAGTCTTTCAAGTCTTTGGGGATCAAGAACCAAACTTTGACAGGTTAAGTCACCTTAAGATTGTAAGTATATATATCATCCATGCATATCTAGTTTTTAAATTACTTAAATTGAGAAAAGAACTTCTTGGGAGAAGAGCCACCAAGGAAAAGAACTAGCTGATTTGGAACCTAGACCGTTGTGTTGACTGTTGATCTGGCTTGTTCATGGATAAATAAACATAATGTTCCATTGCAGGTGACCATGATTTTATACGAGGTTTTGAGGTTGTATCCGCCAGTGACATGGCAAGAGAGATCGACGGAGAAGGACATGAAACTTGGGGATATATTGGTACCTGGAGGAGTGCAAATATTCATACCAATACTGATGCTTCATCAGGACCAAGAGATATGGGGGAGTGATGCGAAGGAGTTCAAGCCAGAGAGGTTTTCCGAGGGAATCTCAAAGGCAGGGAAAGGAAATTCCGTTGCATATATACCGTTTGGATGGGGTCCTCGGATTTGCGTAGGACAAAACTTTGCCTTGTTGGAGGCTAAGATGGCCCTTTCTTTGATTCTGCAGAACTTTTGGTTCGAACTCTCTCCTGCATATTCTCATGCTCCTTTCATCCGAATGACCCTTCAGCCACAACATGGAGTTCATGTCATTCTACACAAACTTTAATAATAAATTCATAACTTGCAGTTTGTGTGTGTTTGTGTATGTCATATATATATAGAGAGAGAGAGAGAGATGCTGCGAACTTTATGTCAGTTTAATACAAACATCAAGCAATCAGCTCTTTAACTAGTTTCATATGTTGAGAACTACATGAAACTTGGGAAGTTATGAGTGCGTATTTGCATAGCAATACTTATGATCCATCATGATCCAGAGTTTCATGGAGATGAAGCCAGTTTAACCCAGCTGATGAAGGGCTTTTCAGGTTAAAGTAATTATTTAGGGGGTGTTTGTATGATGTGAGAAGTGACTTTTAAAAGCACTTTTCTGCAAATTGAAATAAACTCCTCTACATATTTACTTCATATGTGGTAAAAACACTTTTAAAATCATGGTTTTGTTTCTATCCAATATTTTTTCCATTTGGATGGGGTCCTCCGGGAATCTGCCTTGGACAGAACTTTGCTTTGTTAGATGGCTTTGACGTCAGGCTTTGATTCTACAACGTTTCTCCTTTCAACTTTCTATCGCCACCATATTCTCATGCTCTTTCAACTTCAATATTAGATTTCATGCCGTACCCGCGATTACAGCTTTGTCTGCTTTAGTTTTATAGTCCAGAAAATGAAGAAATGTCAGAAATAGCTGGTTGATATATATAACTTCCGATATCATTTACTAGCTAGTTGAGGGATATACATTATCCTTCGTTTATGTTTCCCTTTGGGCTCATTGAGTATAACTTGCTCCGAAGTGATCTTTTGGTTTGTGTTTTTGTGGTGTTGTTTCCTACTTAATTAGAGTGATTTCTTTTAATTTGTTGTTGTGCGTGTTTTATTGTTTAATTCGTGTACGTGTTCTTGAACAACGTATGAGCAAAACAAGACTGAATATATAGGAGTTGTTGAAATAATATATTTAGCTTTGATTCTGAATATAAAATTTAGTTTAAGACTGGAAGTAGTATTTGTTAAATACTTTTTGGTTGTAGACATTAATTAGAATGTAACAGAATTGATAGGATTGAAGCCAACAATAAGAAGGCAAATAAAAGAAAACTTGCAGAGGAAGGGCTACGGATCATCGTCATCCTTTCTCTCCGTATATTTCTCTAAAACCATCTTTTTTTTTATTTAATTATTCATTTAGTTTAATAATGTAAGATTGCCTATTGTGACATTAAATTAAATAAATATTTATTCATTTAATTTTTATCATAAAGAAGTGTTATTATCTTTTTTTTTTGCACATTATTATCTATTTTTAAAGCATGAGTGATGATTATAATAAATGAATAGTTATTAAGAGAAAATTTGGGATGATCTAAATCCAGAAAAAATCGATATACTAAATATGAAAATAAAGAGGTAGTTTATATCTCAAGAATTATTATAAAAAATTCAAATTCGGTGAGGCCAGTATTATTTCATAATGGAGGAGTTATGATATTTAGTGGGGATTATGGAACCCACCGGCGATTAGTGGGAATTATGTGTGCCCAAGGGTCAGTTACTTAGAAGATAAATAGAGATAATTATGAAAGAGTCTTTTAAAATAAATTATAAATAATTTTTCAATAAAAATTTTTATGTCGATATACATAAAAATTTATAAATGATTTCAAAAGAAAAAATTGTAAATAAAGACCCCTAAACATATAAAATTGTGATTTGAGACCCTAAATTTGGAAATAACAAATAAGGACCGGGTTCCACTTTTGTAAATATGAAATGTGGGTGAAATGTCTAAAATGCCTCTCATCCAAATTGTGATTTGATTTACTGAAGTTGTCATTAACTAAAGTGACTTATTATTTTTCATAATCAATTCGTCATTTAGCATACTCTCAGCCAAATTGTAATTTGGTCTACTGAAATTATCATTCGCTAAAGTGAATTTGTCACTTTCTATAGTTATTTGTCATTTGGATGAGGACATTTCAGACATTCACCACATTTTATATTTAACAAGTGAGGGGCTCAGGTTTTTATTGTTATTTTTAAATTTAGAATCCCAAATCACAATTTTACATATCAGGGGGCCTTTAGTTGCAATTTT